GCCGCCACCTGCCCCCGCGCCCCCGCCGAGGTGCCCCGGCTCCCCGGGGGACGTTCAGGGACAGGGTAGGTCCCCCCCGGAGAAGTCTGGTCTTGGGGGGGGGACGTGCAGGGACAGGGCAGGACCCCCCGGAGAAGCCCAGCCCAGGGTCGGGGACATGCTGGCGTTGTGCCCCATATGTTGTCGCTGCCGCGCTGACCCCGATGGAGACGGGGTTGCAGGGGATGCCTGCCCTGGCAGCGATCTGGAGCCTTACCTGCAGACTCCCTACGGCAGGCAGAGCCCCGCAGCCCTGCCAGCCCGTTTCTGCATGCCCCACGCTACGAGGACACAAGGTCCCTGGCCGCCCCCACAGACCAGCTCGCCTGGGTGGGCAGGGGATTAATGGCAAGAGAAGGGGATCCCAGCATAACCCCCAGCCCCTCGCCCAGGGGTGTTCAGACTCCCAGGTGAAATGGTCCATCACCAGTGCAGTGGCCAGGGCAAATTTATGTCTCTGCTAAAAAATACGGTAGCTGGTTCTGCACTCCCTAAGAGGACATATAATTATAAGAGGAGACATCATCTTTCCCTAGGTTAGAGACCTAACACACCGTACTGGTCCATAGCTTCCTGCTGTGCCCTGTTAATCCCCCTGAGCTCATTACAACAGCAAAGTCGTCCAGAAGCAGGCGATGAACTGCCAGGACAGGGAGGCTGGCTTCCAGCAAGCCCTAAAGGATGCTTAAAGGATTCCTTGGACGCCCCCCTAGCTGCGGAGCGGTGTGAGGATCGACCCGGAGAGATGCCCAAATTCAACACACAGACCCACGCAGGGCGCAGCTCCGCTGCCTTGCCAACACCTGCCCGGGGACAGATCAGGCAGGCCGATCTCCCAGCTGCCTGCAGGCTTCTCGTGTTAAATGCCTGGTTATTTATCGAAGAAAATTCTGCAGTTCGGTTTGTGCCAAACTGCCACTTGTTTTGTCTACATTTTCCTCCAGGAAATTAGAACACGGAGGCTTATTGTTTTTCAAACGACTTAGGCACCTGGCCATGCACAGAACCAGCCTTAAAGATAGCAGGGGTCTGATGTGCAAATGAATGGCAGGATACAACCCCCTGGGAACATTTGTTCCCATTAAGCTTTGCAACTTTTTTGAAAGCATGTAGGCATTTAAAGGAAATATTTACCAGTTAAACAATAATGGCTCCAAAAGAGCAATTGAGATCACTGGCCCATCCCCTGTATTTCCTCATGGATACGCTGAGGCTGCTGATTGAACTGGAGCTGTCTCGGGTCGTGCTGTGCCCTCCGGGGTAGCTGATGGGTGCTAGATGTGCTGGCGTGGGGCTCTCAGGTGGACCCATGTAAAAGGAGCATAAGCTGCTTTGGTCAGATCCTCCCCGGGGAAGGGAGCAGAGCAGAGGGGAATCAGCTCTGGGACGTGCTGGTGAAGATGGAGCTCCATTGCCGGGGAGGACGGAGCGTGTGGGAGACAGGATCCCTCCCAGCAGCAGGGGAAAGGCTAGCTGATGCTGGTGGAAACGCAGCTCCACGTTACACGGCATCTCACATAGCACAAACAGGTTTGCTTGCTCTGTCTGGATCCAGCCTACCTCTGGGGAATGATTTCAGCTCACTTAATCTCATAAGCATGAAGCACAGGCAACTTTTCCCAAGGGCCTTGAAGGGACGGTAATTATCTTATTCTGCAGAAAGCATTATTGTCTTTTCTGGTGTATGTGGGAGATGAACAGAGCCTGATACTCAACTTGTCTAATAATTGCAAAATGCATTTGGAAGCCAATGGAAAGCTTCTCCATCTGACCATACTGAAAGCACAGGATCTAATTTCACGGCTGAGATACTCACCTTATCCGTGGTGCTCCATCATTTGTCCTGGGCAGGGATCCTTTCCCTATGGAGCATCTTGGTTTCTTACTGTCAGAACAGAAAAAGCCCGCCGTTACACTCCCCTTGTCGTGCAGGCAGAGATCAGTGATCCAGCCCTTGCCCATGATGGACCTGGTGTGGGGTTCCCTGGATGCTCCCAAAGGTCCTTGCGGAGTTGGGTGGAGGACGAAAGCAGGATCATGGCCACAGAGTGCCTGTGTCTGGCATTGCCACTGAGCTCACACCGCAAAGGCTCGCTGGTGAGCCGGAGAGGCACGGACATCGTGATACCAGTGGTAGGGCACGGGGAGCCCTGTCCCTTCCCTCCTGTGCAGTGCAGATTGCACAGTGGGTGTTTTAGGAACATCCTATGGGTCCTGACCCATAGGATCAGTCACCCTGCTGTGACCCCGGTGGGAAAGGCCAGGCAGACCTGCGGTGCCTTTGCACCCTTTGGGGTAGAGCAGGCAGCAATATGAGCAAGGACTGAGCAGAGCAGAAGCCCTGGCTCCACCTAACGCAGCGCTGGGGCTTCGCTGGACACCGAGCTATCCCCTCCAGCAGTCTCCCCAGTGCCTGAGGCTGGGATTTTCCAAGAACCCAAGAGAATGGGGTGCCCTATTCCTGCTGACACTCACAAGGGTGTATCCAAGTTCACTTACACTCACTTGTAATCCCACCGCTGTACCCCAACACTATATTTTAGCATCTTCAGTACGTACACACCTTCATTTAAGGACAAAGAGCCCTAACTGCCCGGGCAACCTTTGCACAAGTCCCCGGGATCCCAAGTGTAAATTTGATGGTGAGAAAGGGGATGGACTCGTTGACACCCAGCGTCCCACACGGCACTCAGCTTTCAGCTTCTTGCGGGACAATGACACCCAGTGCAGGACTAAGCACACCACTGTTCAGGGTCTCCGTCAGAGCCTTCTCAGCCACTAGACAATTATTCCCGAAGTGCACTGCAGCATTTAAAATTCTGCAATTATTTTAATTGTAAAATGTTTGTTTTTCAGTTCCGTTTACTGGGTCAAATCTTTGCTCAAGCAAGTGCCCATGTCAGCTGCTTAAGAACTGCATATAACACATTAAAAGAGCATTTAATCCTCCGCTCATAGGGAGGGTTCAGTGTCTTATATGCTAATATTTATTATGCTGGGAGAAAATCCTCCAGGACACAGCCGGGCAAAGTTCCCTTGAAAGCAGAGGAGTGATGCCAGTTCAGAGTTGGGGAAGATCAGATCTGTTGGCCCTGTTAATATCGGTGTGATGAGTTTCTGACAGAGGCGGTAAGGGATTTTGGCTCCCGACTGCAAGTCTGTCTGAATTTGAAGTCCTCCCTGGACCAGTGTTTTACATGTTTCCTCCAAAGCCTTCTCTCTTGCACACTAGAAGTGTACTCCCACGACATCTAATATTAATGCTTGTGTCTGGGCCAAGAAAGAAATGTTTCTGCCCAACCTCCCTCTTAGATTTAACAATGTCGAAATCTCCTTGCTCCCACTGGTTTTACCACCGGTGTCAGCTACGAGGCATGCTGAGTGCTGACGCGGAGCAGGTCTCAGGCTGAGCACCAGGCTGGCTGCAAAGGTGAGATTTTCAACCGCCTCCCCGGTTCCCAGAGCCCGTCCCGCAGACCTGCCGAGCACACCGCACCCACCCAGGCAGCAGCGCCAGATCCGACATCACCCTGAGAGCATCCGTGGTGGATTGAGGGCCGGAGGAGTAGGCTGGGCTTCCAGCCAGTCCCCCGTGCAGTAGGTGAGCTCGGAGGGTGTGAGGGTGTTTAGGGTGTTTGGGGCTGGGGGGGGGGCCCTCAACTTTGCTCTGGCTCTGTAGGCATGAAAAAGGAATGATTAACAGAGGAGACTTAATAGGAGACCAGCACTAAAGTGCCACATCAGGAAACCTCTCTTAGGAGTGCTTACTACCCATCGCAGTAAAGGGGACATGCCCAAGCACACAAGCGCTTCCCCAAACTGGGGCCAGAGGTGCTGAAGTGGCAGATGGAGACAGATGGATGGGGAGACAGACAGACAGAGCGACACACATACACATGCAAAACTTTTCAGCTACTACAAGCCATGGCTGACCCTATACCTGCTGTGTACAATGGGCTCTTGCTGGCCTCTGCAGGGGTCTTGCACTGAACTGGAAGTACTTGCTAAAGCAATAGGAATCTTTGGTGCTTCTGAAAAAAAGGGGAATGGCTTTTCCTGTTTTAGGACAAACTCTTCTGCTCAGGCTTTTCATAAGGCTGTTTGTAAACTTTACACTTAAGTTTAGGCTTTGGAGCAGCCCCTGTTCTGCAGAGCTCTGTAAGGAAAATGACCTCCCACTATTCTATTATGTCCCATATTGTTCTCAGTTGTGTCAGCTGCAGACCAGTTATCTCAGTGGAAATCTAGCGGAGTCCATTGATGTCAGTGGGATCAAAGCAGGTCAAACCAAGAAAGGTATTCGGCCCATAGCTCTCGGTCTGTTGTCACCAGTTGCCCAGTGCTATGCATATTATGACCCAGATCATTCCCACAAAAAAAAAGGGGAATGGCTTTTCCTGTTTTAGGACAAACTCTTCTGCTCAGGCTTTTCATAAGGCTGTTTGTAAACTTTACACTTAAGTTTAGGCTTTGGAGCAGCCCCTGTTCTGCAGAGCTCTGTAAGGAAAATGACCTCCCACTATTCTATTATGTCCCATATTGTTCTCAGTTGTGTCAGCTGCAGACCAGTTATCTCAGTGGAAATCTAGCGGAGTCCATTGATGTCAGTGGGATCAAAGCAGGTCAAACCAAGAAAGGTATTCGGCCCATAGCTCTCGGTCTGTTGTCACCAGTTGCCCAGTGCTATGCATATTATGACCCAGATCTGATTCCCACAAAGTGATTTTTTTTTTGTTTGTTTTTTGCCTAAGGACTTCGCAAGCAGTAAGTGTCTCAGGACCAGTATGTTATAACTTAAGGTGACCATAGAGACATACAACAGCCTAGCTGTAGCTGTGCAAAAACAAATGCGTGAACAGCGCAACATCCTGTAGCCAGGTTTTATTTTCTCTTATGTGCACACAGAGGAGTTCCTATTTACATTTAGAGGAGGCAGTAATGGCTGCTGCGCAAAAACTGGGAAATGATTCATCTCACCCAGGAATAAACTGAATCTCGCAGTTTTCTGTGAAATTTCCCTGGCAAAAAGTGGCATTAGTCAGCAGGGAATGGTCCCCCACCCCGCCGTTCCCCTCTGTGTTTTCCCAGTGAATCACTCCCAAGGAGCACATGGGAAGTGCGGTGGGAATAGCTGTGAGTTGCATGCACGGCTCAGTCGGGCCCTTCATCACGGCCATCCCAGTGAGCAGCTCAGGACAAGAGCTGCACAAGACTGTTTTTTGCTCTGATTATCCTTCTCTATCAGGAGAAAGTCTCCAGCTCTAGAAACCTGCACTAAGCGGAGCTCCTCTCTGCAGTCACCTCCCAGGCTATGGGCAGGATGGGAATCCAAGCGTTCGCTTTGGGAGAGAGGATGGAGAGTGAAATAACATTTCTGATCATCCGCTTCTGTTTGCAGAGACCCTTTTCTTTCCCTGTCTGGTCTGAAACCTCAAGTTAAATCTTCCCTTGTGTTTCATCATGCCCTTCTGCTGCTGGTATGACTGTGAGTCAGGTTCGTTTACTCGAATTTGTTGCAGTTTGTAAATCTGCCTCCCCAGAGCCAGGCCCATCTGCAGCAGTAGAGTCTGGGAAATGCCTCAAATGAGCCTGCAGCCCAGATTCAATTTCTCTTCCTTACCTCTAGGGAAACTTGTGCAGAGCTGGTAGTTTACCAGCATAGAGGGGGACCAACTCAATCGGCGGAATGAATGCTGGATCACAGGGAATAACAATCAAAATCTGCCAGGGCCGACTCGGTGTTTTCTGCTGCTACCCAGAGGAGAGGCAGATTTTCAAGGAGGCTCAGGGTCCAGCCACCGCATCTGGGCTTCTGTCTCACACAGCTTCCCGAGCGGTGGCAGAGCTTCCCAATCCACTTCTACATTAATTTTATCACTGACAAAGCCTTGCTATTTCTTCTTATGTTTGATTCTCTGCCCAGTGAATTGATTCCATGAATGTTAGACCCTGGGAAAAAGTATGCCAGGCTATTTCTATCGAGAGCCATTCACTGGCGTGGTCCTGCTCCATATTCCCGCACAGCCAGCCAGTGCCTGGGTATACCAGTGGCTCCTACGCACAGCCAGCCTTTTATCCCAAAATACCCCAGGTGCCTCATTCCCGCACAGCCAGCCAGTGCCTGGGTATCCCAGTGGCTCCTACGCACTTATCCCAAAATACCCCAGGTGCCTCGCTGAAAGCCTCCTGCCTGCATTGTGTAATGCCACAGAATAGGACGGCAGGACCCACAGGTCTGCAGGTAGCTGAAAACAAACAGCATGCAAATCACCCAGCTCCACGGTTATAAATTTGAGAGGCTTTGCTGAGCTCCTGGCGTGCAAACACCGGCATGCTCCAGGCTCGGCTGTTATCTAGTGCAAGCCTCAGGTCTGCGTGAGAGCAGCTCACAGCCCCATCCAGCCCTGTGTCCTGCCCGCTCCCCGGGGGCCGAACTCTGCCGCGGTGCAATCTGAAATGAGCAGTGCGGCGTCACGGCTCGGGGTCCTGCCGCGCCAAGAGAAAGCAGCACCGCCGCGTGCTGCGCAGAGGGGAGAGGGAGAGCTGACGGGGGGAACGCGGGAGGAAGGATGAACAACATGGTGTGGTATCAGAGGTGTTCAGAGAGGCAGGCCGACCGAAAAAGAGAATGAGTTATGGAAAGAAAGAAGATTTGCTAAGAATTTCCAGCTATCTCGCAGGTATTTGTGCAAGCGTTTGGAGCCTTCCTCTACATGCACAGGAGGTAAAATTTACGCTCTGAGTCCTCTGCTCCTGGAAAACAGCCTGAGTGCCAGTGGGGTGAATTAAAAATAATAGTGCTATAGGCTGGGCTCCACTCGGAGCAAACCAGCGCTGGAGACACACCTCGGCATGTGCGTGGCTGAAAGCAGAGCCAGCCTCGCCGGGA